CTCTCTCTCTCTCTCACTGTCCACTCTGCCTATCAAAAAAAAAAAAAAAAAAAAAAAAAAAAAAAGAAACCTGACTGTACGAAGGAAATAGCCATTGAATATCTGCATCCCACAAGGCATACTACTGAACACCTGAAGGAGAGAAAAGTGGACTAGGTGCTGTGCTTAGCCTTAAGGAGCTCAATCTAGTCTAAAGTGATTGGGATGACCATGGTTTGCAGTTACAGGAGGAAGAGGATGAGCACTGCAGTAGGTTCATTTTATGAAGTATTTAGTGCTCATGCTCCCATGTGCTGATCATTTTTAGGATTATCTCATTCAATCCTTACAACATCTGCTGTATCGTTGTTCCCTTTTTATGCATAAAAACACTGGTGCTCAGAGGACATGAGTTAAACCCATGCATGCCTGTCATGCTCCCACTCCCACTCGCCTACACATCATTGCTAGTTTAGACACTGAAATTAAATTTCTTTTTTTGTCTCTACTGTAAGGACTCCTTTACAAGCTCCAGATCTTGTCACTGTGTTAGGTTTCCTCTCATCGTTCATGAGCTCGATCTCATTTTTGACGAATTCCTCTCACAGAAATGAGACATTCTTGCTTCTGCCAAGTTAGAAAGATAGCATGAAGGGCAAGAGAAAGGTTGCCTGCCTCATCCATCAACTTCATATTAGCACAGACAATAGATCTGTCATTTCAAGAAAACATCAGAATGTGTCTCTACATACAAGAGATCTCCAAAAAGGTCATGGAGAAGGCATAATATGAAAAAACAACACATGAATTTCAGAATTATATGTGCCAAAATAAGTTTTACCTTTTAATTCAATTTTTCCACAAACTTACCAAAGATTATTTATTTTCTTCCTAATCTGAGAGAGAGACAGAAACAAAGATAGGGAAAGATACAGAGCTTCCTACTGCTGGTTCCCTCCACAGATGCCTGCAACAGCCGGGAACTCAATCCGTGTTTCCCACATGAGTGGCAAAGATGCAATTACTTGAGCCATCACCTGCTGCCTCCCAGGATCTGCACTGGTAGGAAGCTGGAATCAGGAACCAGAGCCAGGAATCAAACACAGGCACTCCAAGGTGGGCTGTAGGTATCTTAACCAGCATCTTAACTACTAAACTGAAATACATGTCCAATTTTGCCATAAACTTTTGGAAGTACCATCCTATAGTATAAAATATGGTAGGGAATTTGAAATATGCTACATTATATTCATTTTTATAGTTTATATATTTCCTTATAAAATAATTAATATAAATATTAAGAAATTATGGGTCCAATGCTGCAGCACAGCAGGTTAAAATCCTGGCTTGCAGCACCAGCATCCTATATGGACACCATTTCGAGTCCTGGCTGCTCCACATCTGATCCAGCTCCCTGATAATGTGCCTGGGAAAACAGCAGAAGATGGCCCAATTCCATGGACCTCTGCACCTACGCAGAAGACCTGGAAGAAACTCTGGCTCCTGGCTTCAGATTGGCTCAGCTCCAGCTGTTACAGCCATTTGGGGAGTGAACCAGCAGATAGAAGACTTGTCTTTCTCTCTGCTCTGTCTTTCAAATAAATAAAATTTTAAAAGAGAACTTATTATTTGGTGTCAGATATTATGACATTCTGGCTGTGATTTTAGAAAGGGTTCTTGTCTTTCAGAGATACATATTGAATATGGATATAATTATATGATATGATGTCTGATATAGGTATCAAAATAATCCATTGTGTGAGAGTATAGATTAAACAAGTTTAATCTAAAATATATCATTTTTGGAAATGGGTTATGAGCACATGGGCACTACTTTCTTTACTTTTGTATATGACAGAAACTTCCCATTATATAAAGGCTTGACAAGAAAAGCAAGTTTAAAGGAAAGCAAGAGCTGCTATTAGTTTCTGGAATAGATAAGTAATTGTGAAATATGGTGAACTAAAAACATGTTTTGCACACAGAAAACAAATTCAGTTTTCTTTTACCTGCAAGACTGTTTCTAGGCCAATTTGTGAAGATCTTACAATATACATGCTTACCAACTGGATAGCTAAAAGGAAGGCTATGCATGTTTATTAAAAATCTTACTGAGAAAAAGGATATGCAGCACCTGACTTATAAAAATAATAACGTAATGCCCTTTATTAAAAATTACATATAGTCCATTGATTTTCACAAGACTTTGATTGATTATTGTTGTCCAGTTCTTACATATGTAGTCAATCTATGGTTGCGACTCATTAACAAGTGTATCTCCAACATAAATGTTGGTTGATAGTTTTATTTACATTTATTGTCATACAAAATAACTGATTTGCAGCAAATAAGGAGACAACAGGAATAATTTCCAAACCTGTGACTCCATGAGCAGGGGAAATGATGAATCTGTTCCAATTTAGGAGAAAATGAATATTTAGGAGGGATGTTCTCCTCACATGCAGAAGTGGGTGCAAGTTCAAACACACACAGTTTAGAAACATGCTCCAACACAGGTTGTGTGGTATGGCAATAAGTCTTAAGTTCCTCTTGGGGTGCAGATTCTAGCATTAAAATGGAGCAAAGGGTGACCTTTGGATACTTATTGAGCCACGTGCACTTCTCTTGCAGGAGAACCTGGACCAGTCCAGGGAGGCTGGTGATTGCATTTCTGCCTGGAATATGACCAAAATCCTGAAAGACAACTTCAGAGAGCATCAAAGGTTTTAGAGTTTTGAACTAGAAATGAATCACAATAAAGATTTCTGAACTGCTCAGGGCACTAGCTGTGACAGTACTAAAGACACTGAAGACATATTCAGAATTTCAGTTCATAATTTTAAAACTGGAAGAATATTTCTTCATATTTTGCAATCATAATGTTTGGTTATAGACACCACATAATTTTTAAAGATTTCATTTATTTATTTGAGAAGTAGAGTAACAGACAGAGAGAGGGAGAGACAGAGGAAGGTCTTCCATTTGCTGGTTCACTCCCCAAATGGCTGCAATGGCTGGAGCTGAGCCAATCCAAAGCCAGGAGCCAGGAGCTTCTTCCAGGTCTCCCATGTGGGTGCAGGGGCCCAAGCACTTGAGCCATCTTCCACTGATTTCTCAGGCCATAATCAGAGAGCTGGATCAGAAGAGGAGCAGCTGGGACATGAACTAGTGCCCATTTGGGGTGCCAGCACCATAGGTGGAGGCTTAGCCTACTACTGCACAGTGTCAGCCCCAACCACAAAGTTTTAAATTTAATTCTTTATTAACATTTTCTCTACCACTTTTTTAACATTGTATAATCAACCAAATAATAAATCAAGCCCTAAAGTGTAGCATTTACATATTTCATAGTATAAACTTCCCATAATTATTGGCTGCAAGCTATCATCATACTATGATTAAACCCAGAGATGCATAATAGCACATCATGATATTGATTATCTATCACACAGACACAACAAACATAGTAACCTCAAGTGCATAAATTTAGTAAAACATGGAGTAATTAGGAGAATATACATTTCTTTTTATAATTTATTGGTTTGAACTATATAATACTGCTGATATACAGTCATCTTTAGAGCTACAAAAGTGATCAATAAGTCACATGATTCAACATAAAATCAGGATATTTGAGCATGGTGGAGTTGTAGGGGAAGGGATAGATAATGATGACATAATAATAAGAGCCTCTACTATTTATTGATCACTTTCAAAGCCTGGGCACTGTGGAAGTTACATTTGATTCTTTCTAATTTTCAATAACTAAAGCAGAATTCTTCACAATTGATTCACTCTTATTTAGCTTCTCCCGAACAGTTTGGAAATACTAAGACAGACCAGAGATTTTCTGGCACCTTTACTCCAGTTGAGGACTTGACACAAATATGAAACAGTATATATGCAAATATTATTCAGAATTATTTCAGGTTTTTTTTTTTTTAAAGATTCAATCATTTAGAAGGCAGAGAGACAGAGAGAAAGGGAGAGATGCAAATCTTCTACCTGCTGGTTCACTTTCCAAACAGCTGCAAAAGCCAGGTCTGGGTCAGGCCAAAGCCCGGAACCATGAACTCCATCTTGGCAACTCCTTTTTGGAACATTAAACTCAACAATCATGTTGTGGTTTCATTAAATATTTACTACATTACAGCCATTCCTTATCTGTCACCAAAATAATAATACTGTGTGTACATACACATCTCAGACTAATCATAAGATTCAAATTGGAAGCAGAAAATGTAGAGTGCTTTGTCAATAGTCAGATTTTGCAAAGGCAGTGATATGCTATGCATCTGCTTCCCAAATTGCTGGAATCTGCCCCTACACTAAGTGGAAGCAGCTACCAACCTTTGGCAGTTTTAAAACAACAGTAATCGCCGGCGCCACGGCTCAATAGGCTAATCCTCCACCTTGCGGCGCGGGCACACCGGGTTCTAGTCCCGGTCGGGGCACCGGATTCTATCCCAGTTGCCCCTCTTCCAGGCCAGCTCTCTGCTGTGGCCAGGGAGTACAGTGGAGGATGGCCCAAGTGCTTGGACCCTGCACCATCATGGGAGACCAGGAGAAGCACCTGGCTCCTGCCTTTGGATCAGCGTGGTGCGCCGGCTGTGGCGGCCATTGGAGGGTGAACCAATGGCAAAAGGAAGACCTTTCTCTCTGTCTCTCTTTCTCACTGTCTACTCTGTCTACTCTGCCTGTCAAAAAAAAAAAAAAAAAAAAAAAAAAAAAAACACAACAACAGTAATCATTTGTTTTACAAACACGTTCTATGGTGGAATTGATCTTTCAAACTACCTGCTCCTTTCTCATCTATATAGTACATTAAATTATCTTTTAATTAAAATCTTAAAATTGCAAGAAATGCAGAACAGATATGATCTATAATTGAAAGCTCAGCCAAGGGTAGGGATGTTTACAAAACATTCAAGTGTTTGAAATCTCCCAATGGCAACACTGGGAGAGCCAGTGCTGTGGGAGCGTAAGAGGTGAACCTGTATCCACCCTCCCACCTCCTTCTCCTGGCAGTGGTCTGCGCCTGCCCTGGGTTTTCCTCGATCCTCTGGCTGACTCACTGTTGCTGTAAAAACAGGGCCAACCACACTGTGTTGAAAGCCACTGAAACCGGAGGAAACTAGTCACAAAAACCCTGACCGTCAGCTGAGAGATTGCTCCGGTCACCTGATAACTACTAGCACTTTTCCCAGACTAGTTCAAGTCTTCAGGGGCTACGCAGGACTCCAGAGCCACTTCAGCCTAAATCAGCTACCATCTCATTCCTCATGCTTGAGAGTGCAGAGCTGTACTTCAATGTGGACCATGGCTACCTGGAGGGCCTGGTTCGAGGCTGCAAAGCCAGCCTCCTCACCCAGCAGGACTACCTCAACCTGGTCCAATGCGAGACTCTGGAAGGTAAGTGTAGCCCTTCTCTCCCTTATGAAGAAAGCAAGCCAGTGATACCACTTTCTGGAAGCAAGCAAAATGGTCTATTATCCCATGGCCTAGGAGTCCTGAGTAGGTATCTGTTCTGGAGTCCAGATATCTGGTGTCCATGAACTTGGATGAGGAAAAAAAAAAAAAAAAACACTAGTTTCAATATCCTCTAAGTGAAAAATAACATTTCCTTTCATTGCAAATATAAGCTACATATCAGTGTGGTTAGTATAGAAGTACCTGTAACTTTGGCATCAACAGAAATTCAATAATTTTATCTCTTTAATGTCCTTGTGGATACCTTGAAATGTCATTTAAGTTTTCTCTACTTCAAAGTTAGAGTAGATGTTATACTCATCCTTTAATCTTGATTTTTGATGGCATAATAAAGAAGTTTAATATTTATTAAACACATTTAAAGCTCTCTAAAAACTGCATTTTAAAACCTTTGGCTTCTTTTGTAATCCTTTTTATCTTTCTTTCACTTGTTTACAAACATTTGAAGAAGGGTTTCATCAAACTGCCAAGGCATGTATAGGAAAAAACAAAAGAAGATAGAACCTTCTCCAGAGAATTTCATTCTTGATTTTTATCTTTTTTAAAGAATTTTTCACTATTTACTATTTGAGTGTTGCCTTTAATGGAAGTTTAAGTGAAAAAAAAAAAATCAAGAGACGGGGACTGTGGTAGAACCAGCCTTGGACTTACCAGCGCTTGCTTTGCCCTCTGCCATGTCCAAGCAGGTGACCCAAGATTCCAAACCTCTGTGCCTCAGAATCCTCATTCGTAAAATGTGATGGTGATGTCTGATTTACTGAGTTGCTGGGAGAAGTAAAAGAGATAAACATCCAGCAAACAGAAATTGCCTTTAAATCACAATTTTTTCAAAATTTTACCAAAGATTCAACATCTGAATTGGTATTTTTATTTTTTAAAGATTTATTTTTCATAGAGTGACATAAATATATTAATAATCAACTGCTTTAAAACTTCCAGATTATTCTAGAAAAGAGCAAGAAAGTACTAATGAGAAAAACTTCTAGGAAGAGTATTCAAAGGCAAACACAAACTTGAAAACCTTTTGAAGGTGACTTTGCAGGCTGAAGTCTCTTGTTTATGTTCTGACCAGTTAAAGCCTGTGCAGCTAAAGCTTGTTAGTATTGGAAACAGCTAGACTCTCACATGGTGACTAACTCTGTTGGCCACAAATAATTACAATATAACCCCAAATCCTACCCTAATTTAGCACATGAAATTAGGAGTTGGGTGGCTGAAGGATGTTAATCATGTCTGGAAAATCAGCATAAAATGAGGCAGAATGAAACTAAAGAACTCGGGGCAGAATAAGTGTTTCTGTCAGAAGTGTTACGAATAGATTTTATTAGTTGTCTCTCCAGCTTTAAAGTGAGCTAAGAAATGCAAAATCTAAATGCAAACAGTACCTAAAATATGTTCATTACACTGAGAACATGGTTTTGCCCTGTCACAAAAGAATTCAGAGAAACTAGGAAGCTATATCCAAAATTATATAAAGACTTCTAGAAAATCAAAAAGATAAAACTCAAGAATTGATCAAGAACTATTTCTCCCATTATTTTCTGCCAAAAGACCTTTGGACCAAACGACTGGGTTGAGGGAGAAGAGACAAGAGAAGTAAAGAGTGAAGGTAACAGATCTATCATCTAAATAGGGCCCGAGTTGGGCACCTTCATTTTTAGGGGGAAGAGAGGGAAAGCTTTGAAACCCTTTCAAAGACCTCAACAATGAGTTTCTTAGGAAAATGCAGGTAAGGGCATATACAGAATTTCCCACACAATATCAATGGACCATGGGTCACCCAAAGCCAGCCCTGCACCCTAGTTAAGAAATCTTGCCATGTACACCATTGCTTTATGGTTATTTTATCCTATGGCTTTTCTCTTCTCAAAAACGTTTTGTTTTTTTTACAACTATGTCTGAAGTTGTATGCCAAACGACTGTCTGGTAAGTTCCAGAAATATCAAGTATAAATCATCAGATCATATCTGGCTTATCATGGCTGCTGAGAAAATACATCAAAGTAAGGAATTCATGTCCTTGCTTAACAACAGTGAGGGCACAGATGCTTATGGCTGTCTCCAACATTATAGACTGTAGGCACTGGAGACTAGAGAGAACTGTGGCTCTTATTCTGCCAAAATGCCATTGCCTCCTAATATGAATTGAAAATACATGACTAGGCCTGTGTTGAGTTGATAAGCATTCGATTCTCATACAGAAAATAGTCAGGGCTGCCCTACCTGATTGTCGTTTTATTGAAGTTGTGAAATGAGTAACTTGAGAAAAGCAATGCAACTATTGCATCTGTGACTTCACTGAGAGAGACCCAGCTACCTTCTGAACTGGATTCAGGGTTGAGAAGAAATCAAGGCCTTCTTGTATTACAAGCTAAGGGCATAAGGATTTCTGTTTACTTTTGCACAAAATATACACTATGCAAATTACAGATTTTAAAAAAGTAGGTAAAATGTCCACATGTTGAAAAAAAAAAAACCTGGCAAAAATTGAATTTCCTTATAATCTTTTAAAATCCTCTACACTTCAAAAGTGTTGTGCCATTAACAAATTGTTTTGGAACTGCTTACAGGGAACACATACATTTTCAGGTAAATTTAGAGAAGAGAAAATAAAGGTTGTGCAGAAAAGCTTTGAAAACTCCTAGTACTAATAATTGCCCTGACTGATGTACACAATCAGGTAAGTGTTATCAGAAATACTCATCTGTCCCTAGACATGCCCCTGACCGACAGGGACCTGAACCCGCGGCTGAGACAGACTCACAGAGCCGCTGTGACTCAGCCTTTCCTGGGTACAAAGTGGGAAGCTAGTTCACGTTGCCTTTGTCATGGGTGTTGCTTAGAGCCTGGAGAGGATCTCCATATGGACATTTTAAGGTCTTTTTTTTTAGATTTTTTTTTTTTAATTTGAAAAGCAGAGTTACAGAGAAAGAGAGAGAGGGCGAGAGAGAGAGAGAGAGAAAGCGAGGAGGGGGGAGAGAGACAATCTTCCATCCGCTGGTTCACTTCCTCAAATGGCTGGAACGGCCTGGGCTGGGAAGGGCAGACCCGAAGTCAAGAGCCAGGGACTCCAGCTGGATCTTCCAAATGGGTGGCACGGACCTAAACACTTGAGCCATCTTCCACAGCTTTCCCAGATGCATTACCAGGGAGCTGGCTAGGAAGTGGAACAGTAGGACACAAAACAGCACTCCTATGGGATGTTGGCATTGCAGGTGGTGGCTTTGTCCACGGTGTCATGATGCTGGTGGCCGAAACTTTAAGGTCTTTAAAAGGTACTTTGAGCCAACATGACAACTTTAAAGAAGCACAAAACATTGTTTAAAATAATTTCCACCCTTCTGTTTTCATCAGTATTTTTAAAAATTACAAATAAGACAATTGTATAAGTATTCTTTCCTCTCTATAAAAGATGAGATGGTTAAATTGGTACATAAAGTTTAATAACAAGGGGTCTTTTCTAAAACATATGGTGAAAATGACCCCTGGCTCTGAGGGTATGGTAGAGTACTCTGGATGGAGCCTTTACTTTGTTCTCCTGGCCACAGTCTGTATTTTTTTTCCCTTTTCCTTTTCTTTCTTTTTTGGGAGAGAATGAGGGGAGCCTGTTATATCTCACTAACAATTATATCCCTTTTAAAGGATGTGACCTTCAATTCTTCTCCAACTATGCATTCAGAAAGGAATTAGTTCAAGAACTATATATTAAGCACTTTCTAGCTAAAGCCAAGGAAGTAAAGATGAGGAAAATATAGTCCCTGCCCTAAGAGGGCTCCTCCTCTGGAGGATAAAAATATTAGAAAAACAAGAAACGCTTAAGGAGGATAATTGGGCAGCATTTCTCAAAATTCCAAAAACTGGAAACAAATTAAGTGTCTCTATGTAGGAAACTGGTTAAATAGGTTATGAGATATTCTTATAATGAAATATTCTGTAGCTATTAGAAAAAAACTTGCATGTGGAAGCAGAATAAGAGGATATGGCAAGTTCACCAAGATATGTTAAGTAAAAAAGGAGAAGAACCTTGTGTAGCATGATACTCTTTAACCAAAGGGGGGATAAGTTGAAAATACACTTTCTATAAGATTACCAGACATGAAGAAACTCTAAAAGGATCCAAAGGAATGAAAAGCAGGCATCACCTGGGCTAGGAATGAGTAGCAGGGGTGAGAGGTGCTAAGAGACTAGTGGACCTCTCATTATTTATTTGTACATATACTATGACCTATTTTTACATTTAAAATTAACATACTGGAGGGTGACTTATTTCAGAGTTCCCTGTGCTCCCTTACACATTATTTGTACTCTTAATTATGACACTTTTTCTTCCTAATATTAAAAATTCATATCCAACATTTTCCCATCTTGTATTAAAAATGCACATCCAGCACTGTCACTTTCTTGTTCAAAAATACATCAATGGCTTTCATCAGGCGAGGAAAACACTGCTCTTAGCTTAAAAGGCTCAGGAGGTCTGGCTCACTGATGTGTACCATTCCAGCATTTCTTCAGAACCTTCTGCATTTTCTAAAGCTATTCCATCAATCACAAATTCCATTAACCATCCAGTTTGCATGGAATACACTTATCCCCTTTTAAGTCCCCATTCAAGTCAGTTCCTCTCGAAGCCATTTGCCAGTAAAATGGACCTGACAAGTCTCCACTGCATGCTCTACTGTAACATGGAAGAGACCTCATTCTGGGATGTTTTGCATAGATATGTCACCCTGTGCCAAGACCTTCTCTTCACTTGTCTCTCCAGCTCCACAGCCTATCACGGCTAGGGGCTTAACTTGTGAATGAGGAAATGAGCCATCTCCTAAACTTTTAAGCTTCTTAAGGGCAGAAACTACACCTTAGACTTTCCTCCCTCCTGCCTCTCAGAACCTATCATTGTTACAGGCAGGAATCTGAAAGCACACA